ATTGTTGGGGGATCGACTTTATGGGTCCATTTCCACCTTCTTCTGGGTACCTTTACATCCTCCTCGCTGTGGATTACGTTTCTAAATGGGTTGAAGCCGTGCCGTGTCGAACCAATGATAATGCAACGGTTGTTAATTCTTGAAGGAGAATGTGTTATCTCGGTTTGGCACTCCACGTGCTATCATCAGTGATCAAGGCACTCACTTCTGCAACCGTTCATTTGAGGCTCTTATGTGCAAATATGGTGTGCTTCATAAGGTTGCTACTGCCTATCATCCACAAATGAATGGCCAAGCTGAGTTGGCGAATAGGGAGATCAAACAAATTCTGGAAAAGACGGTAAACCCCGACCACAAGGATTGGTCCTTACGTCTTCTTGACGCTCTCTGGGCATACCGCACTACTTACAAATCCCCTCTTGGGATGTCTCCTTATAGGCTTGTCTTTGGGAAAGCCTGTCATTTACCTGTCGAGCTCGAACATAAAGCTTATTGGGCTGTCAAGGCCCTTAACTTTGATCTCAATGCTGCAGGTATTCAAAAAAAGCTCCAATTATCTGAGATTGAGGAGTTAAGGAACGACGTATACGAAAACTCTAGGATCTACAAGGTAAAAATGAAAGCGGCTCATGACAAGCAGAGCCTGAGAAAAAATTTTGAGCCAAATCAGCGGGTGCATCTTTATGACTCTCGTTTGCATCTCCACCCACGTAAGTTAAGGTCGCGGTGGACTGGTCCATTTGTGGTGAAACAAGTTTTTCCCAACGGTGCTATCGAGGTCGAGGACCCGAGCGATGGAAGAATATTCAGAGTCAATGGCCAGAGACTGAAGCATTACATTGAGCGTGTGAGCCAAGCTGAAGAGACCATTCTCGAGGCTCCGATTTACCAACCTTGAGGAGTTTGCTTCTAACCCTTTTGTATCATATTTTTGTTTCTTTGTTTTGTTTAGTGTGTTTTGTGTGCTTTTATTTTTAGTTTGATTTTGTGTGCTTTTATATTTGTTTGTATTTTGGAGAATCAGTTCAGGAGGCTCGACTTAGTTCCAATGTTCATCATCCAGGTGTTCTCTTTCCTGTCTTCTTCGTATTGCATATCTTTTTAGACATTGAGGACACTGTCTGATTTTGGGTTGGGGGTGGTGAGCATATTCATGCGTAAGATTAATTTTTGTCTTGTTGTTATTTTGGGTCAAAATTTTTACGAGATTATCTGAGTATGATTTTAAAATTTTTGGTTTGAGTCAGTTTTTGTTATCTTAATTAACAAGAAATGATTTCCAGAGTTATTTTTGAGCACATGTTAAGACCTTGTGGTAAGATGGTTGTTGACACATTTAGTTGAGAAAAATTCCCGAGTTTAAGGTCTTCATTTTTGGTGAGTTGTGAGAGTTGAGAAAACAACTTTTTGAACTTTCATTGATCTTTTGAGTTGGTTGAGTCATTAACGGAGCACCTTTACTTGACTTGTGACATTTGCTTGAGGGATGATTTCTGGTTAGGAATAATTTTTAGAATTTGAGCCATGTGTTGTAGATAGTTATCATTTTTCTTTTGCATTTTATAAAAAAAAAAAAAAAAGAAAAAAGAGAAAAGAAAAGAAAAGAGCAAGAGCATCCTTTATCATCAATGTTTACGTAGTTTGGTTGCACTGACGTCTTGTGCTGCATAGCAGCCAATCAAAAGAATGCCTTACTACATCAGCTTCATCAAATGTATGTTGTCTCTTGCCTCGAAAAAAAAAAGAAGAAAAGAAAAAAAAAGTTTGTGTATATTTGTCTGTATTTTCGGCTCTTTGTTTCTTTATGAGATCTTCCTCTTGACCAGAATGAAATCCCGAAAGTTTGTTACGGCTTGAGTGATGAATTGTTCTATATATTTGATTTGCCTATCATTTGATCAATGTTTGTTTAATATTTTCGACCCCCGTGAGGTAAATGGAGTTGAGACTTTACCTTGGCGAGTTTTTTCGATGCTATTTGTGTTATGGAATGTGGTAAGAAGGATACGGTTTGGTGCACACACACACGACTCTGGAGTTATGACTGAAGTAATTTTGATAGCATTTTCTGATGATTTACTAATGTTTTGTTTGATTGCTTAGGTGATTTTTGCAGGTTTTGATTTGAATTTTCAGCTTGACATGATTTTTCTTTCGCTTGAATTGCTAGAGACTAGCAATAAGCTGGTTGGGGGTTGTGATAAGTGCACGAATTTGCGATTTTAA